AGCTTTACGCGAAATTCAAAACAAACAAACTCAAAGCAAAACAAAAAGGCAAATTACTTTAAGAATAACACCAATGGACAGGAATAGAGTATATATTTTATATGTATAAAATCGATCAGTTGTCTTAATTTTGATTTTTTGTTGTGTTCAGCAGTTGGAAACCACAGATTTAGTCATTTTTGGTAATTTTGGAATAACGTTTAGAAATCAACTCTTACCTTGTTCGCCCTCGTTTATAACGGTTTAATAAAGCTGTTTGGTCTCTAATGTTATCAGATATGGCGGTTTCCCTGAGTCGAAGTGCAAGGATGTCTCGAGGATTATCTTGCGCATGGAAACCTGTTTGACGAGCTAAACCTCTGAATGTTTCTGGATACAATGATGGCCTAGGTAAATCATCCGACAACTTCTTCTCATGGGAAGACTCGAATGTTTTTGAAGGAACCAACACATAGCGTGTCAAGTCGTCAGAGAAATCCCTGTAACCTTTGGCAAAGTGGATATTTCTTTTTTCCATGGTATGTGCAGAAGGGTGGATATAAAAGAACTCTCTGTCTGTGTCTTGGGGAGACGTCTGCGCAGATGTTGAAATGGTTCTAACAGGTCCGGAACGAATTCTTATCCGTTTTCCTTCACTGTACAGAGCTTTTCTATTCGGTTCATTCAAGTAATCGGTAGGAGGCAACAGAGAGGTAATATCAGTTTCACTTTTATGGCGTAAATCAGCGAGTCGTCTTCTTTCGTCTGTTACCGTTTTAATTTCATCCCAGAGTCGTTGCTTCAAACTATACATGTAGGAGGGGAGAGTTTCTCGGGCCACACCGAGCTCTGAAGGTTGCCTCATTGTTCGAGGCAAAAAATCGCTTGCTATTGTGCGACTTGGTTCTCCTGGTGCTGATCGTGAATAGTAGTCTGTTTTAGGCATATAATACTCGGATAAGGAGTCAGCCCGACGACCTAAATACGCTTCTGTAGAAGAATAGATTGGAACGTAAGAAAGGGAATTGGCACCTACAACATTAGAACCCACCGAAATAGGACCACGTTCTTCTAAAGAAGACGCTCGTTGAGGAAAAGGCCTATATTGAGTTCTCTCTTCAATAACAATTGGGTTACTTCCAACAGATAAATTTCGTTTCCGATCTTTTCGGTGGGGAACGACTGCCGCGGAAGGTATTTCCTGGCTTGAAGACATGTATGGAAAGGTGTGTCGAAGTTTGGCCGACATCGTGCTTCCCGTATCACTCTGTGCGTCAGACGAATCTCCTGTCTGAAGAAAAACCAACAGTTCATTAAAACTACTTAGATTAAAAAATACGTTTACACTCTAAGAAGAGAAAGATAATTTAATCAGCTTCTATTAAAGCATTTACTACCAAGTAAAAAAAGGGAGGGATTTTCAGGCTAATATTTCCTGTCCCCCGTCGGGACGGAGGTAAGTGAACGAACTTACAACGCCAATATGGAGGGGTTCGATTCTCCAAAATGAACATAACAGATAGGCCAATTTGGCTTTGCTCTAAAATAAACAAGCAAGCTAATATTTTCTCTACATATTGAGGTTTGTTCAAATTACAATATTATAAACTCTTTTAAGAGCTTTTCGTCAAGCGAAATACCCAATTTAAAGGATTCCACGGAATACAAAACTCGAAGTATGCCTAACAATATTATTGTAAATGGAAAAATCACAACAGCATTCTACACATTCTATCAATGAGTAAATAGACAACACCAATATACAAATCAACCATCTCCATAACGTCATATGCAAGTAACCATAACCCATCAATATGGGTATAGCTCGCTAAATATTAACATAATACAAACAGACGTACCAAGAATGATAGGATCCCAGGAATTAACGGTATTTTAATAAAACCATGTAGTTGGGTGACGAGAGGGTAGTCAAAGTCAGCAAGAAATCGCCAAGTCACATGTAATATTGCTGTCCAATGCAGTACCAGTCATGTCAAGAAACAATAAAAGCAAGAGAGCCATGTTTTCGTGCCTTGAGAATAAATGTTTTGTTCTTTATTTCTAGATATTCTTAGGAAGGTATTCAAGGACTAACTGCTCTAGCTGTTCGTAATCTTGAATTTATAGACTAGAGGTTATGTAACTAGTCTACCCCTAACTTCTGGTCTGCTCTTGTCCGAAAGAATAGAAATATTTCACTGTCACCCTCATAACGTACTCGCAGCCCCAAAATGTGGGTCCCGATTTTTTTCTCTTCAGGTAATGGGATGTGTCTGGTACACACTAGCCACCGGACCTCGCTCGTTCCGGCCCGCAACAGCCACTACTGTTACAGAATATGTGCTTATCAGTTCCAAAAGTTCAATAGAAATTTACCTACAATGAATTACGACAGCAGAGTAGTTAGACGATAGCGTAAAAAGCAGTGAACATCACAATCACGTCCTCTGTTATAATACTGTAAGTGTTTTGCCAACAAGCCCAGATTTGCATAAGTTTCGGTCAGAGAGAGAGTGAACGCACTCGACATTTCCAACTGTTATCCAAGGAACTTTCGTTGAACTACAAGCAAGTTACGGGAAATTGCTGTGGTATTTATGTTATGGTGTAAGGAATCATTTAAGCAGTTGGACGATCTTGGTTGGAAATATAAAAAAAGAGGGGCTACAGCTGCTCGATTTGTCACAATTTCTGCTTGTTTATACCAACGGCGAGCTTACCAGGCAAGAAAAGGTAGTACTTTCATTCAACTTGAATCACACAAAGATAACTTGAGGGACAGGGCATTATCAATGTTCGTGGTCAAGTCAACTGCTGGATATGCATTCTGTAAAGAACATATGGTTCATTTCTGATCATTACCGCAAAAGTGTTTCCCAAACAACTAATTTCTAGGGACACCTTCATCCAACTTCTTCATCAGGAATTGGATGTAATCCCACAAGATCAAAGTTCAGATTTTCCTTTCAGTGTTTAATATGTGTAACCGTTTTCCTACCTTAAATATTTCAAAGGGCAGATCTACTAAATACTAGTGGTAAAACTTATCAAAGAGGTAGAACATTATATGACAGCAGAGTATATTATAATATACAGCCAATTACACCTAAAAGGATTAATCTTATAATAACCTATAAAGTTATGATAGTATTTATGGTGAACATATACCTGAAGCAAACAAAAAACTGTATTTAACAACATCACACATCGTAAGGTCAACTATATAGGAAATAAAATTAATAATAAAGTATTCGGAACTTTGACACGGAGACTCTGCAGAAACTGAGTGAAAAGGTTGACCAGCTACTAAGAGTGTTTTGAGATTTAAAGAGACCAAAGAGGAACTGATCTTGACTCTACCTGTTTAAACTGTTTTCAAAAGCAGTATTTTATTCAAAACTGGGCCTCCATTACTCTTTTTAGTGTGAAGAACTGATATATGTCAGTAATCTCTACGATTACAAAAAAACTTGAGTTTGTTTTTCTTGTAGAGCCAAGCCACATTGTACTATCTGCTGTGTTCATCACGAGGAATCGAAACCCAAAGTTAAGCGTAGTAAGTCCGTAAACTTATCGCTTTCTCACCGGGGAACTGTTGTATTAGTACTTAGTGTAAGTATGTAAGCCAAATCTTAATCGCTAAGCAAACTGAATCTTGAGAATTGCTATTGTTATAAATAAAATATTATAAATTATTAGGTAATCCTAGACGCTACTAATAACCACAACAATTTATAACCAATTATCACAAACTTACCAAAAGTACTTGTGGTGTTTATATTTTCAACCAAAGCAGCACTTTATGTGAGACTGGCTAAACAAACAGGTCAGAGACCCCTAGGCTGTAGATATAATCGTCCCTAATGACCAAGTATAACACAGTCAGTTAACAGCATCCTCCAGATCAAATGTTTTCTGTGGCTTTAACCCAATAGCACGTTTCAAATATATACAAAAATATATTAGTTTACGTATATTTACGCGTATACGTATGTTAGTATTTGCATATGGTAGTTATTAAGGGGCAGTAGGCTAATAGGTAATTAGCCAGAAGTGGCGTAGTGGTTAATGTGTCGGACCTATGATGTGCCTTTGAACACTACGCACTTTCCTCTGTGGATGTCTGATAAAAGTGACAATGAATATCGTTATTTAAAAGTGGGCGCCTCGACAGCGACTGCTACTAAATGGTTGTCTTACATTTGGGTAGCAACTCCAAATTATGGAGCTTTCAAGTCTTTGAGCCAGTCATTTAGCCATATGTCGCATAACGTCACATTCAGGTTGAAAAATACCAAATACAGAATTCAATAATTAGTCTTATACCACCGCTTTCCTTTGCATGAAATTCTAAAACCAGCAAATCTGTCTTTGTCAGTTGTATATCATACTCACAATCTGTCTGTATTACTCGTTTTTATGTATCTCATATTCGATTTTTCTTTACTTGTTCTTTATATCATACTCACAACCTATCTGTATTACTCTGTTTTTATATCTCATAGCCGGCCTTTATTTATCTGTTTTTCAGCGTCTTGCTTGCAATTTGTTTTTCTTTACTTGTTTTTAGATATCTTGCTCATAACTTCAATTGTTTTGTCTATTTTAAATACCTAACTTACCATACGCCATTCTGAAACAACGTCAACGTTTTCTTAATAGTAAGTTCCTAAGCCTTTGAATGGAGAATCTCACCTTAGTCCATAAAAATCGTCTGATGTTTTGCAGTTAACTCTCAGTTTTTATTGGGTCTTAAAGTTTTCCCAGGTCTGTGAAAGATCAATACTTTTGTGTTAAGATGTCGCGTGTTAACCTTCGCTGACAAACATCATTCTGGTATACAGCAGAAGCTCTAACAAAGCTGAAATATAAAACAAAATGTAACCTTCTATTAGCATGTGTAATATCATAGGAATAGTCCCCACTCTGCAAGTTCAAAAACAAACATCCTTAGTTGGCATCGCTATTTAAAAGAAACATTAAAGTATCTGGAGGCGACCTTTGACTTCAATTACATTAACACTATAATAAACAGAGCTACCAAAGGCATCAGTTCACTAAAAGTTGCAACACGAAATAGAGTTGTAGAACGTCAACTGTTTATGCTGTACCGAAGTCTTATCCACTCCATCCTAAAGTATGCACTACAAATAAGTACTACAATGAGTGCTATAAAGTTAGATAAGCTTACAAAGACACAACAAACTTACTGAAGACAAGTCACAGGGTGAATTACAACCACTTCATCAAAGCCCTATTAAACCTCAAAAGTCTCAGAAGCATCACAAAACACCAACATCACTTAAAAGCAAAATTATCCATTACTCAGTTAATCCCTCACAACCTGATTTCAGAGGCCTCATGTAGACTAAATACCTGACGCCACTGAGAACTGTGGAAGTTAATCTAGACAAAAGTATATTGGACAGAGGGTGAAGCAGTAACTTCCATTTAATACCCATTTAAAAACATGGAGGACAATCACCTCTTACTATAGTCACAGATAGTTCCTTAATCATAGATATGGAGAAAGCTTGTTGGGCACTAATCGTCTTGTGGAGCATAAACATTCTGCATACGGCTGATGGAGCATTCAAGCTTCCTTTCAAGCTGAGGAAGGATGGAAATAGAAGTCATAAAGAAAGATTTCCTCTGGATATCCGAAAGCAATGAGCCACAAATAGACAGTGTCACCAACATGTGACTCGCAAACAGCACCGCATAAACTTCAGGATGGTTGGTATATGGTAGAACTGCATGGTAAGATTATAACCTAGATGTATGGGCCAGACAATGCAAGAGTAAAGCTAAATGGGAAGCTGAAAAATTTGCAAGAGAAACATGTATGCCGACCTCTCATGCTCTAATAAGGCGAAAACGGTCTTCATAGGCATTCAGATGAAATGCGACTGCTGGAAGACAAAGTGCCGTATGTTATAGTCAGAAAAAGCAAAACATCGGGTAGCAATAGAACATTATACAAATATAAGGCCAGTTGGTATGTGCGTTTGTGTCGCTATGCGTAAATATAACGTTAACTTTATAAACTTTTGTAAGACTGTAATAAACGTAAAAAACAATATATTTTTGTAAGGACAGAAAGAAACAAAAATGACTGTGTTTCCGTAAATATTCAGTGAAAAAATTCTACTTTCAGTGTAAAAGCGTTCAAAAATAAGCATTTCAAATCCAAATTATAGTAATAATCAACCCTGGGAACATATTAAGTATATGTTTCACATTGCATGGTCTATTTGTGAAGAAAAAAACTTTGCCTTCTGGAAGAAATACCCAGAATGACACATTTGTAAAAAAAGAAAAAAGTCATTGTAGTATATATATATATATATATCGGAACATTTTTTATATAATTATATATTTTCTATGTCATTATCCACAATATTGATATAAACCACTTACACACAACATTAGTCAGTAACGTAAAATAATTATATTGGTAGCTTTTGAAAACGAAATTATGTTTTGTAACTTTCTCACTTCATTTTTTTACAGCTGTACATAATTTTAATGATTATTTCACGTCTAGAAATCAAATAAAAATTATCATTGTAACACATCCTTGTAATTTTATTATTAGTACATAACAAAAGATATTTTTATAAGACAAAGAAAGGAATTCAAACGCAACCTCGTTCAAGAGCCTCATATCTTTTGTTCATATAATTATTTTGAAGTATAAAGTGGTTAAAACTAAACTCGTGCTTTGTATTTTTGCATTTTGTAGTTTGATATTAAAGTTAACGAAAAAGCATTAAAAAAAACGTAAAACAACGTGAAAAGTTTAAGATGAATTTTTATCCTCGACAAACAATGACAAGCTTTGTAAATCATTTCTCCGAAAGGAGGCCTGGAGGGGGGTCAACTGTTTTAATCACTCGTACCATCATACAGTAGTTTGTTGTCTGTGACTCAGTCAGTAGACGCTAACATGACGTCACATAAGGGACCCTTAACGTTGCAATTTGTACCGTCATGACGTCTGTAAAACATACGCGTGTCATGAATGACAAAAATAATCATGCATTCTGTAGGCTACAACGCAGCATGACACATGAACTTCAAAAGCAAGAAATAAAAATATTTGTTACTCTTAATATTGGATTTATTTACTCTTGAAACAGATCACTTTCGGGGACTCTGCGAAAGTACATCTAGTATTTTAAAGGTAAAGTCTGGACAAATTTTAAGTTAAACCGTTGTAAGTAATGAATTTATTAATGCAAACTTACAAGGTTCATGACAAACCTTTTAAGAGATATTGTATTTACTGCTGTCATCAGTTCAATAATAAGTTATCTATTAATATTAATCAACTTTTGCACGAACAGTATTCACAAAGATGTCATAAGTGCGGTAGTACTTATAGTAGGAATGGGTCAGATGTGCAATATGTGAATACAAATTAAAATCTCAAACACACTGCAAATAGCACGTGAACAAAACGTTATAAGCAATTTACACTCACTGTTGAATAGTAAATAAATCAACTGCAGAGCATCAAGCCACAAAAGTACTTGATAAAGTCGGTAGAGCAAAAACAAAAATTTAACAAGCCCGCAAATTTATCAATCTGACTGACTGACTGACTAACGTAGTTGGAAAGGCATAGCTATCTCCTGCCTTCACCTTATGCAAATCTAAATGCACATGATTTAATTACTCTGCCTTAGCTAAAAGTGTTATTCATTTCAGTCAGATGAAAAGTTTTGTTTAAAACTTTCCGAAGAATAAGTGCAAGCTCTTTGATAATTAAAGATGACATTATTCATTTATTTTAGATGAGTAGCATTCTGCGTATTTTTTTTCTTTGAAATCTTGGGTTTTAGAAGATGTATATAGTAATGGGAAAGACAATAATTTGTTTAGTGCGTAAATGTTCTGAGATGCATGTATGTGAAGGTCTTAGTTTTACTTATATCCTTGGTAATAGCAAGTAATAACAATAACCATTTTGCAACACTACTAACGAGATAACAATACACTTGTAGCTATATTATATGATTACGAGCAAGATCTGTGAGTTGCCAAGTAACAATCCGCCCTCATATTACGTGCAGGGGCACGATTTCTTATGTTCATGTGTTATGTGATCAGCCTGTAACTGTAACAGATAAGTAGAAAAACATGGATTACGTACATTCTCTAGATCTAGGTTCTAATTAAAATCTTATGTTGATAATCTTGAAAAGTCTTTGACCCAGCTAGAGAGAATTACTGCAAGAATAAAGATAAGGTTAGAAATGATGAATATTGGAAACAAGCCTTAGCCACTAACACATCCAACGAAAAGGCTGCCACCCTGGTTGGCTAGATGGAAGAAAACTATATCAAAGATACAGCAAAGCCAGGAAATGTCGAGAGACTGCTCTAAGAAAAGCTACGACAAGGATAGGCCTAGAGCCTAGTCACTCTCAAGACTTAGTACCAAAAAATTTATGACAAGGGTAAACAATTTTTCAAAAGTTCAAAGTAAAACACAAAGTAGGAATGACTGGAACGATGGCCACACTCACTTTGAGGTTGCACATTTTCAAAAACCACCAAATGTTGTAATGTTTTCCCACCCATTCTTACCTTGTTCCCTTACTTTGAACTTTGATCCATTTATAGACTTGAATTTTGTTTTATGAGTTGCTAATTCTTTTTAAATGCTCAACAAATTTTCAATTTTCAAAAATCAGTAGTTTTGATATTATTTTTTGGCCCACCCCTTACCAGTCAGATAGCCATAATATCTCTCGTAAGCAAGTTATGACTATTGGAGCTTCTTGTCTCACCTCCGACATCAAACACTCTCTTACGATGTCAAGCATTTCGTTAGAGTCACGTAATTCGATTACATATATGTATCTGTACTTGGTTATTGAAACAAACTTTAAATCAGAGAAATTTAGCTATATACACCTTTCATTTAGTTTAAACAATTACCAAGTTACAAAAAAAGGAAACAAAGTAGGAATTGGCGGTACGATGGCCACACCCCACTTTGAGGTTGCACCTTGTTAAAAAGCACCAAGTGTTGTAATGCTAACCAGCCTATTCCTACCTTATTTCCTTACTTTTTAGTTCTCCCATTCCTACTTCCTAGTTGTTTTAAAATGTTTTACAGTTGTGTTATTTAAACTTTAAAGATGGTATAAAAATCAGTCTAACAGAAAGAATTATCAAAGTCTTGTCTTTAGACAAAATATTAATATATAACGTTCTCGGATATTTAAAATTAATTCCTGATATCATCGGGGAGATAAACAGATAATGATCTGCTTATGTTATGCATAGATTTTTTAAACTATTAAATATCTATATGACTTAAGATTATTCGAACTCTATATTAATATTATTAATAGTACAGTACAAAACTACTTCCAAAAGAACCATCAGATGGCACCGTGCACATCTATTCGTACAGTAACATAAAATTAGCATGATATAAACGTATTTCATGAACGAAAAATATGCATTACAAATTTAACAGCCATAACGCTACATATCGATCTTGAGCTGATACAACGATACAACTCAGCTGGGCTAGTGAATAAAGTTTATATCACGGTACAGATTAAAGGTTGGTGAAAATAAAATGAACCAGCTTTATAAGTCTTAAGATGATAGGGCAATACTACTACTAAGGAGCACTTCCCTTGTAACTAATGTTGTACAGATCAACTCTAATAGCAAAATACAATGTGAGAGAAGAATGACCTCTTAGAACTGCTAAAGTTGTTGTTGTTGTTTTTCAGTTTACGTTCATTTGTGACCTTAATGTTTTATCATTTAAATTTAAAAAAAGCCCAAAATGCAAAAAATTAACTCGGGTTTACTTAAAAAGCCACCTCATATAACAGTATAACATTTATTAGTATTTTTAATATTACAATACTTATTAATCACAAAATAAAAAGTACAAACAGGTAATTTAAAAACTGTTCTAATTGTTTCTTGCTACTATGTAATCATTAAGTAAAACGTTGGTGTGAAACTAGATTATAGATGTGAAGGTGTACTATGTATTTATGGGCTGTTTGAGTAAATGTTTTTTGTTTTATTTTTACATTAAAGATGTTGAGTGGAGACAAGTATTGCTTGAAAATTAATTTATTCACGGTATGAATTGCTCGAATCACCAGACATTTATAAATTTACCTTATCTCTTGTTCCGAGACTGTGTACCCCGATCTTGCTGACAGAGTCAGGAACAGAAGACGATCTGCTGTAGCTAAGGCTTGTTGTTTCTAGTCCTCTAGTATTTAAAATATCTCTCTCCGGTCCCAATGGGTATATCTGGGACGAAGCCATCAATAATGGTTGACTACTGCCGTACATCATTCCTAATGTTGAAGACATAGCTTGAAGGCCACTATCATACGGTAGACTTGTAGATTGGTAAGTGGTTGTAGAGGGCAAAGTTAGGCTGTGTGTTTCACCATAAGATTGTAGACCAAAAGCCGATGCTGTGGAAACGTTCAAACCAGAGGTCTGAGAACGAAGAACACTTTTATCCGAATCGGCTGCTGTCCTTTTCATCATTTCACCTCTTTGTTCTATTTCTGAATGTGCAAAAGACTGGTGCTGCTGTTGAACAACTGGACTTTTATCCATTAATTTTTGTCTTGATACATTTTTCCCTTCTGCACTACTGACTAAACCCTTCGGAGTTTGTGGAGACCCTGTTTGACCACGATTATGGGATAATTTGAACTTTGGGGTTTGAGCTGCCAGTGCTATAGCTTCTTGCATTTGCTCTAAAGTGGGCTGAGGCAACCTCCTGTGGACTCTACGGATGCTACTAGCTTTTGAACTTTGAGATTGAGAAGTAGACGCTATCTGTACCGTAGAGAAAGGGGCTACTTGTTCTTTGGGCATTGGCCGAGTTCTTTCAGTCGTCCGAGAAGGCTGATTAACTATCGTCATAGGAATGACCTTACCAGCTTTGGCTACTTCTGTGGAAGTTGCAGATAAATGGCGTGCATCTAAGGATGAGAAATGCTGCATCTTGAGCTGAGGGTCTTCAGGCGTTTGCTGTACAGACCTTTGAAAATTTTCTAGCATTTCGGGAATAGTGCCACTGGTTACTCTTGGCATAGACATCGGAGGAATATAATCTTGGTATTTTTCCATTAATTCCTGTTCTGCTGCTTCCAGAGAAGGTGAGACATCAACAATAGGAGAAAGGTCCATCATTGGGGACCATTCCTGACTATCAGACCGTTGTTTCTGTTTCTTCTGATTTTGTAATTCATTGATGCTTGATTTCGGTGATTGGTATGAGAGTGCTTGTTGCTGTTTCTGCTGCTGCTGAGGAATATCCTGAGTCATAGAAGAATAAGAAGCCATCTTTTCTGAGGAGAAAAAAGAAGACTGTCCACTAGCACCTTCACTAGTAGTTACATGACTTCTGTTTGAAATACTGTACTGAGTATTAGAATAAAGCATAGGCTCAACGTCAGCTGAGCTTGAATGTTGCAAAGGACTACCTTTGTGGGAAGACTCAAATGTTTGTTGAAGCCTCATTTGATGAGATGGTGCTGTGGTAATAGGAGCCCAGGGTAAGGGTGGTTGATATGATTTTTGCTGATCAGATGAATGTGTTGTCACAGAAACAGGAGCCCAAGGTAGTGGAGGTTGGTCCACAGCGTCATGAGAAAATTGTTTTTTTATTGTGCGGTAGTTCTGTGCATCTTGCGATACGCTAATATGGGAATCGTTTCTTTGCATTCTACTCTCTCCAGAGTGTTCTCCCCTTTTGGAATCTGCCTGTTGTGCTTGACCTATCCGACTCGTTCCTAAAGACACAATATATAATTAAATCTTATTAGTGTAAATGGTTTTCATCGTTCGTTAAAACACTGATATAATTAAATCTCTGCTAAAAGCTTTTCCTTTTATCGAGTGATGCATGAAATGTTAAATTGTGTTTATTCATTCGTTATCGAATTTTAAGTGCAAACTACTTTATTTCGAATCCCTTCTTTATTTTAAACACATTTGTATCATATATGACTTTCGTTATTAATCGTTTTCCTGACGGTATGTATGTATAATTGTCTTTAAAACTTCAGCTCACACATAAACTGAACCTTACAAAGTGGTAGAAGAAAGCGAGCGATGTAGTAATATAAAACTTTCAATTTGATTCTCATTAAAACGATTGAAAATTTTGTAACTTAATTCTCAAGGCTAAATATGTATTAACAATTTAAAAACAAGAGCTAACAAATCTAGTTCGCGAAAAAATTGGTTTAAAATATCATTACTAACTTGAATATATATTTATATTGTATTACTTTTAATTAAACATAAACGTTGTCAATGATAAAATATACACATTTCTTAATAAAAAAAACTTTGCCATTTCTATTAAAGTACATAAAATAACGACCTATGTCTACAGAATGTATATTTTTATTAGCTTAATGTTTTGCTATTACTGATTCAATTGGATTAGTGAACTTGTAGGATATGGGCTCGAATCCACGTCCCACCAAACATGCTTGCCCCTTTAGCTGTGGGGGCATTATAATGTGACGGTAAATCCAACTATTCGTTGGTAAAAGAGTAGCTCAAGAGATAAAGTGGGTGGTGATGACTAGCTGCCTTTCCTCTAGTCTTTCGCTGCTAAATTAGGGACGGCTAGCGCAGATAGCCCTCGTGTAGCTTTGCGCGAAATTCAAACCAAACTAATGAGATATCGATAATTCCTCACTAATCTGTAATAGCAAAACATTAAGCTAATAAAGATATACATTCTGTAGATGTAGGTCGTTATTTTATGTACTTTAATAGAAATGTCTCGTAATATACTTCAGTTTGCGTTAAAGAAAGTTAAGAATAATAAATTATGTTGTTTCCATAGTAGTGATTACTTGTTTCATTTAACCATAAAATGAAAAAGTTTTAGTTCGTTTGAATTTACAGCCATTTCTTAGTAGATTTGAATGTTTGAGAAAAAACATAAACGCAGATGAAATGGGAATAAGTGTTTCAAGGAATAGAAGCTTGGATCCTAGTTAAATATGATTCAAATGTCTTACGAGATTTGGAGTGTAGACGCCTTCCATCTTGATTTTGCTGAAATAGAAACATATGTATATATATATATATCAAAAAGCAGTAGTTTTGCAACCAAAGTAAAAAGAGAAAAGAATAAGTAAAAGTATTGGTCAGAGTATAAATGGTTAGAGGTACAGCTTTTGAGTTGATTGTTTATATAATTTTTGTTTGACCATTATGTTTCGACCACTCACGTGGCCATCTTTAGGTAACTGTCGTCTATTGCATGAAATATTGCGCGGCCATTTTGTTCCAATTCAGCTTAATTTAAATTTGATTTTATTTCACGAATAATCAATGCTTCTTATTTTTCTTCTACAAAAGTTGTTCTCATTGCATAATATTTTAAAGAATCTCATGTTAATTGGATGTTGATTTGTTATGGTGTGTACGTAAGTGTGTGATAAGGGATTGTTATGTTCTTTGATTCTGATGTTTATGTTGCGTCCCTTTTTGCCTATGTATGTGCTGTCGTATCGATCGCGTTGGTACTTGTAGTTGCTTATGTCTTTGAAGTTGTCACAATAAACCTTCATTTGATGATCCTTGAACTTAGTGCTCGGTTTTTGAATAAGAGTAACTTTACTGTTTATAATGTATTTTTCTGAAACATGTTTCCATATGATTATGGTATTTTTGTTTGCATAACCATGGTATGGTAAGCCAACTATTAGTATGTCTGCATTTGTGCATTTTGTTTCCTTTATGGAGTTTATGTTGTTTTTCCTTTCTTTTACCTATTATCGAGTTGGTGTTTTTGATATTTGACTAAGATTCTAGTGACTATGTGCTTAGGGAAGTGACATTTATTAATAAATGTATCAAATGTAATACATTTCTATCTAAACCACAATGTAAGTGTCTAGGGTTGATGTACCACACAAAAAATACGTAAAATGCATTCAGTAATGCTTGTGAGGAAAAAAATCTGCTTTAGATTAAACACTAAGTGATATATCATAAACAATGCAAAATAAAGCAGCCTGGCATTACTCACGTTGCATCATTTTATTCACAGGCTGTAAAACTGAATACTTATCTCCTAACTGTACCGCAACAGTGTAACTCAGTGACGATTCTTAAATGAATTAGGAGTCAAATTGAATGTAAATTTATATTTACAGCGAATGGATTAGATGATGCAATGTGAGTAATGTCAAGCTACTTTATTTATTTTGTTATCTTTATGGGATATCATCTACTGTTTCAGCTATAGCAGAATTTTTAAGAAGAATAAACTTTGTTGGAATCAGATATTTAAAAACAAGTTAATTACGTAAAAAATATTAAAAAATACACATTGGAAAGTACAGAAAGGAATCTACAATAAAATACAAAGTAAAAAAATCACTCCTCACTTAAATTTACATCACGTAAATTGTCACACTTCAATGTACTATAAAATAATAGTAAATTAAAGATACGTGGAGTGTGTCGGCTATAATCTCGATCAAAAATAGTAAAATGATATAAAAATAATAGGGAAATAGATAAATAAATGTTAATAATAGAACTAGTAATATAGAAAAAAGTGAAAGCAGGAAATTAACAAAAACTTGTAAGAACAACTATTGCACTAAAAAAGGAAACCAAAACTTGTAAAAAACAACTATGGCACTAAAAGAGGAAATTTAACTTGTAAAAAACAACTATTGCACTAAAAATTGTAAAAACAACTATTGCACTAAAAAGGAAACTAAAACTTGTAAAAAACAACTATTGCACTAAAAGAGGAAATTATAACTTGTACAGTGGCACAGCGGTAAGTCTATGGATTTACAACGCTAGAACTCGGGTTTCGATACCCGTGGTGGGCAGAGCACAGATAGCCAGTTGTGTAGTTTTGGGCTTAACCACAAACAAACAAACCTTCCAATGGCGTTTTTACGCAAATGAACTAATGTTATTGTAACAAGCAAACCTATCATTAAACTATCACGATAATAAACTTAAACTGAATGTACTAATGGTTAAATCTTGTCTACCTAGCTAGTAAGTTATCTTATTATCGATTTTATATTCATAACCGATTCAAGTATTTACAAATATGATTAATATATAGAATTTCTTAAACAATTAACAGATAAACGTTTAATTAAATGTTTTGGCTGTGACATTTTACCCTATACAACTTACCAAATCTTCTCCAGAAGCTTCTTCTTTGTATCCCTGCTGTTGCTTTCTACTACCAGGTGGCGCTAAATATTGATTCTGATAAGCGATTTCTCGGTCTGGTTGTCTTCGGGGTTGGCTGGTAGACATCTGTGATCTACGACGTATACACTCAACACAGACCCACACAGCCTAAATAGTTTTAAATATACATAACTAAGTGACTTGAGTTACAGTACGATTACAACAATTAGAATAAAAAGCTGTAAAGTAATTTTAACATTATTCTTATGAAGGGTATATAATTTTAATATTTAATAGCTTGGTTCTGTCGATAATGTCTTAAATCCAGTGGAGTAAGTATTTCCCCACAGCTATCGCAATTGTGGGATGGGGCGAACCAAAAGAGACCCAAAGGGCCTGGTAAACTTAAGAATTGCGGACAAGGAAAGAGACAATTAAATCTGATTGAGCTAAAGGGCAGTTGCGTTATTCTGTTAAGTTGATAATATCAATCAGCCAGAATCGTAACTACAATTACAAGGAAATAAATGTAGGAGGCCCTGTTACTTTTCATGCGGGGAGCCCCATATTTTGTAGTTATACCACTGCTTAGATCGTGAAGTAAATCAGCCTTGTCTTCATCAGACCTATTAAACATGATTTAAATGTACTGAATGAGAACAATTTCAATAGATATGTTTTCTGTATTTTAACTTTTCTTCGACGAGGTGATGTGCCATAATATGTAAATTTACGAGATCGACTTTTAACTGGATGAAAGTTACGATGTTAATTAACATATGTTATCAGAACGAGTCGGAAATGAGAACAAACAAACAAACAGAAGGAAGCAGAGTTAGCTCAAGGCCTATTGTGTTCAATTTCTGTATGCTAATTGAACCTTAGGAATGTTATGTATGTTATTACAATTTTGTTAAATGGTTGTTTGCAATTTTACGATTTTCAGTAATGCTCAGTAGTTTTTACATTAGTGTCGAAAACTCTCTTGGTGTACACGAGAAAAGTTTTATGTTCCAACTTATCTGATAATTTGATAAATTATTCCCAGCTGAGAAAAAGGTGACATAATTAAAATAGAATACAATTAAGTCGAAGAACTGTCTTATATGACGACACAAACATGTGTGTGATAAGCATTAACAATCTACAAAATATTATACATAACATGTAGCTAAGCCTACTAAAAAAAAAAGAATACAATTAAGTCGAAGAACTGTTTTATATGACGACGCAAACAATTTCTATTTGTCATGATGGGCGCATATTTACTTAAGATCGTGCCAATTATGTCGTAGCTTTACATTTGATGAAGTTTACATTTTTATTTAATATCTTGCTTGGGATTTTGTGTGTGTGTGTGTGTGTGGTAAGCATTTACAATCTACAAAATATTATACATCACATGTAGCTAAGCCTACTAACGGGGCATTATGTTCATATTATTTATGGCAACTTTGTGTAACATCTCCATATTCTTTAAGTATCTGTATAGTGCTGTAAGATGAGTACTGTAAAAAACAGTAAAATAATAAGCAGTGGACCAGTATGAATGATTATCAAAGACACTGATACCAGACCTACATTGGTACCCAATCAATGTGAGTAGCAATCTGCAGAAACTACTCTCGTTTCCAATGCAGATTTATCGCTCTGTACGGAAGATGTCTTGATGTTTTTGTACCTGCCTTCTGGAATATTTAGGGTTGACACCAGTGTGTTGGCTTGTGATGCCTCCACAGCTAACTACAGGGTTTTTTGTTTTAATTTCCATCTCTCCGTAAAGTAGTTCTACTCCCAAGCAGCTCCCAAATGGTGCTCGCTGTTCTGGCTTTTTTCTTTGCCGAATTTTTAACCAACTAGTAGCAAGTAAACCAGAGTAAGAAAAAGGGCGTAGCCTATTATCCATTACGTATTAATGACACCAGGATTCTGTTACAATCAAATAGAATGTGACTGTGCTGTCTTCCTTTAGAAGACTAATATGACACCAAGAGATTCGAATCACAATACTTTAGTGTAACCAGTATGCCTGTAGTGTCCCTCAACTCCAGGATGAGAAACTTCCCACTCCAGGGTTCAAGTGTTTAATTATGACGACAGGGAAAATAAAACAAGCATCATCACTCAAATGGAGAAAAGAAAATTCCATTCATACACACACACACACACACTGCTGTTTTGCTAACTGAAACATATTAGCATCACCACCCACTCAGACGTGTACTGTTTATATTATCTCCTCTGGCATGATCATTAGCTAGATTGCCTTTATTAGCATGCATCATCTTCCCTAACTTGATCACTAGTTGAGTGGTTTAATAACCTCATTTATCCTGACTAGTTGTATTGTATAGTAGCATAATGTTTCCTAACGTGTTCATTAATAATCAGTTCTCTGTTAGGATCATTTCTCTTGACCTGTCATTGACAGGCTGCTTGTGGCTTTTAGTAATTTCTATTAATAAACAACAATTTACGAGAGAAAAAAGGTTTGATTAATTCCTCAATATTAGTAACTGTTCACTACACTTTTTACTTTATTTGTAGAGAGAGAGAGAATTATTATCATAAAGTTTTATTTATTTTCACTATAAAACGATCTGTAACCAGTCGTAACATTCTAAAGTCCAGCTGTAGCTCTGGACCATCACATATGATCTTTGTTCAACGCAAGGGACGCTTAGTCACCAATCACAAACACTTCTGACTCTAGCTGTAGCTTTGGACCATCACATACGTCTTTCGTTCAACGCAAGGGATCCTTAGTAACCAATCATAACACTCCCTACTTCACTATACTCCAGAATTATTGAGGAGGAACACACACTGACTGATATGAATGCTTGGAAAAACAAAGTTAGATATGCGTTTGTGTAAACCCAACAAAATGTTTCTCAAGACAAAACTGAAACTCTTCAATACCAATGTAAGATCTGTATTGTTCTATGGATCAAACTATCGGGAAACAAATAAAGTAATTGATAGGAAGTTACTTGTGTTCATCCACTTACGTTTACAATAATCCTTAGAGTACCGTGGCCCACAAAGAATTAAAACAAAGAAGTGACAAGAAATACAGACAGGAAAACATCATGGTAGGGGTGAATAGAAGTAACTGGAAGTAGATAGGCCATGTGCTAAGTAAAGAACAGGATTACATCACAAAAGATCCTGTTTTGAGCTCCTGGAGGAAAAGTGGAAGACATAAAACAACCGAAGTCGAACTGAAATCCAAGATAAAAATGACATGGGAATAGGCCCAAGTGATGACCCAAGATAGAGTGCGCTGACGAGCCCTTATGCAAGCTTTAAGCTCTATTTTCAAGCTAGTATCCATGTCTTTACTTAGCTCTGTACATCTTCCTATTGTAGAGATATTTAAGATAGCTTCTAGGATTCTTCCTGTTACATAACTTATTTGTCAAGGAAATATTTATTTAATAGGCAAGAATTTGGTTAATTCTTGATATAGTATACTTATTTTCAATATATCATATAGATCATGTATATCTCTAATTGGTTTCTTATATCCTTATATATCATACATAACACTGATTGGTTCTTTAGATCTTTATAAACCATGTATTTCTCACATTGGTTTCTAAAATCTTCTAACGGCTGCAACGGCTTGCAATAGATAGTTCTTCACATACGAACATTCAGCTTTACTTTTCCCAAATACCCATAGTAAGATAAACTCATGATCATTTTAATATGAATCGATGTAAAGATAGCAAATACGGAGTATTTTAGGTCCCATGAAGGCGACCTGCTTCATCAAGGCTTAGGGTTATCAGGCTTTATCTTACAGTTTTTAGTCGTTCATCGTGACGAGTAACACGAAAACACACTGTTTGTATTTATGATAGGGTGACACTGCCGAATAAGTACCTAGTTGTTTGATGTCACTGATTAGAGTAGATGTAGGGTATTCAAGTAGCTTAGATGTCACTGATTAGAGTAGATGTAGGGTATTCAAGTAGCTTAGATGTCACTGATTAAAGTAAATGTAGGGTATTCAAGTAGCTTAGATGTCACTGATTAGAGTATGTAGTGTATTCAAGTAGCTAAAATGTCACTGATTAGAGTAGATGTAGTGTATTCAAGTAGCTTAGATGTCACTGATTAGAGTAAATGTAGTGTATTCAAGTAGCTTAGATGTCACTGATTAGAGTAAATGTAGTGTATTCAAGTAGCTTAGATGTCACTGATTAGAGTAGCTTTAGTGTATTCAAGTAGCTAAAATGTCACTGATTAGAGTAGCTTTAGTGTAT